AGCCTTCACCCCTGGGTTCAAGCAATTCTTCTGTCTCAACCTCTTGAGTAGTTAGAACTACAGGCATGTGTCACCATGCCTGGCTAATTTTTTGTAATTTTAGTAGATACGGGGTTTCCCTTTCACCATGTTGGCCGGGCTGGTCTCAAACTCCTGACCTCAAGTGATATGCCCATCTTGCCCTCCCAAAGTGCTGGGATTACAGGCTTGAGCCACCACGCCTGGCCAGATAAAATACATTTTATGACAAAAATATTGAAAGAAACTTGAACAATTTCATGTTACTGAAAGGTATAAAAAAGTATAACAATCATAAAAATCATAAATCTTAATATGTCTAGCAACATAGTTCCCCAAAACACGAACCAAAAGCAAATATGACTACGTTGAGAAACTGACAAATCCACAATGATACTGGGTGAATCCAAAGCTCTACTTACTGAAATGGAAAGATCAAGGAGGCAAAAAAAATAAATCAGTACAGGAAATTTGAATAATATAATCAACTGAAGGAGTTAATGCATTTTTAGTTTATCCTTTTTGCACAACTAAGGAAATACGGTTGACCCTTGAATAACATGAGTTTAAACTGCATGGGTCCACTTATATGTGGATTTTTTCTAAAAATATGCTGAAGATTTTTTGGAGATTTGTGACAATTTGACAAAACACAAACTGCATAGCATAGAAATATAAAAAAATTAAGAAAATGTGAGGTATGCCATAAATTCATAAAATATAATGCAGATACTTGTTTATTTTTTATCACTTATTACCATAAAATGTACACAATCTATTATAAAAAGTTAAAATTTATTAAAACTTCCACATACAAACAGACTGTATATGGGGCCATTTACAGTAGAGAGAAATGTAAACAAACATAAAGGTGTAGTATTAAATCATAACTGCATACAATTAATTGTGGTGCATACTGTTCTACTGTAATAATTTCATAGCCACTTCCTGTTGCTATTTTGGTGAGCTCTGGTTTGCAAGTATCTGCTTAAAACACTGTGTGATGCTAATCATCTCTGTGTGATCAGTTCATCTCTCCAGTAAATTGCATATTACAATGAAAAGAGATCTGTCACAGTTCTTGCATATTTTTTATTGCATCCAGTGCAATACAGAAAACCTTAAATAACACCATGGGATCCACGTAAAGTGCCACTAGCAATGCTAGAAGTGCTCCCAAGAAGCAGAAAAAAGTCATGACATTAGAAGAAAAAGCTCAATTGCTTGATATATACCATAGATTGAGGTCTGCACCCTGGTTGCCAGCAATTTCTGACATACAATTCATCTTGGAAACAGATAATGTAAATGTATGGCATTAATAAATATAGTACAGTACTGTAAATATATTTTCCTTACGATTTTCTTAACATTTTCTTTTCTGTAGCTTACTTTACTGTAAGAACACAGTATATATACACATAACATACAATATGTGTTAATGAACTGTTTATGTAATCAGTAAGGCTTCTGATCAACAGTGGACTATTAATAGTTATGTTTTTGGGGAGTCAGAAGTTATATGTGAATTTTCAGCTGGCATCTCTAACCCCTGCATTGTTTAAGGGTCAACTGCATATGCATTTTTTCCATTCCTTTTTTACACAAAAGGAATCTACTGTGTCAGATATTTTACTATCAACTAAGATGCTGGCTTTTGTGTTGTAGAATTAATTGATTTCTATTTTATTATTGTTTTAAAATCAGGCATGGGTGTTGATTTTGTCAAATGTTTTTCAGCTTCTGAGGCAATGGTTATTTTTTTCCTCTTTAGATTTTACAGTATATCATCAGTACTTTAAATTATAAAATACGGTATTTTATTTGGACTTTTGGTTGATTTTCTGTTCTCAGTAATCAACAATTCTCAACACTTTAAAACATTCCTTATGGTTTGATTTTTCTTTCCATATACAAACAAATTAAGTTTCTCTTGGATTTTTTTTATTTAACATGTTTCAGAAATTCAGAAAAATACTAAAGACTATTATGCTTTCTAAATCGACTTTCAGATAATAGACTTTTCATGAATGTATTTGCTTTTCTAATTCCTTGAACAATATGTTTAAACTTGAAATTTTGGTGTTAAGACTCTGCTTTCTTACCATTGAGTTTGAATAATTAGGCATATAAGATACCATATAAAAATTTAAATAATTCCTTCCTTTTTACAGTTTTCATTTTCACACAGTGATGTACCTAACTTTCAGACTCCAAAATAAGGTGGGAAATGAAAGACAATTCCTGGTGCTGTTTGTGGGTACTGCAGGTAGTAACTATGGCTAAATCAGGTTTGTACATCTCTCTAGGTCTCTAAGGATGTGAAAGTTGTTTGAATTAAAGATGTATATTGTCTCAGTGTTTTCGTTGTTCTCAATAATTTAGAGCTTAAAATTTGAGTAACTGTAATTTGAAAACTGAGCTACTTGTGCAGCTGAATTCAAGACTGTAAAAACGTTATTTTCTTATCTAATGATGTAAAGCAGTTTCCAGATCTTTTGTCATCAGCTTCTCCCCCCTCCAATCCTTCCTCACTTCCATTTGAGAGACAAGTGCTTTAGAATTATTTGCAAGCAAGTCTTATTTTCAACATTTAAGTAAAGATTAAAGTATAGTACAAAGTAATAATTCAGTACACTCCATGCAGGTGTTTCTTCTCCTTCTTTCAGTTTATTTTTCCTTATTTACCAATTCTCTTCAACTCTTTTGACCTCAAACTTCTCTATCTGCTTGTCAAAAATTGTCCCTAGCTGCCTCTTACAATTCTATTTGTGTGTGAGGTAGTCCACATAAGCAGCACACTGAATAGTGCAGTTGCTGTGTTGATCATCCCTATGGCTATAGGTGGTTATTATATTTTGTGTGCCCTGAAAGTCTTAGGCGATCTGTTCCGTATACAATTTTAAGGCATTTACCCCACTTTTTAAAAAAAACAAAAATCTTTTTAAAGCAATTATTTCAGAGTGGACATATGTTCTCTTTCACTTTACAAAAAGTTTTGGAGGGAATCTGGGAGAAGTCATGGTTAGAGATTAGTAAAGTTGGAAAGTACTGCAAATGACCTAATCCAGCTCATTTACATGTGAAAAAATCCTGGCACAGAGTGGTTAAGTCACTTGCAGAGTAACATATAAGAAAAAGAAACACATAAAGGAAAGATAAAGGAAAGGTCTGCATGAAGTGTGGTGATCTAGATTGGTGGCCAGAAATATAACTGTGATCTTATTTTCAGTTCATGGCTATTTTTACCACAAGAGGAAAACTGATCAGCCTAAATTGGTCAGGAAAACAGAGAAAGTTTTTTTCTCAAAACATAGCTCACTGTCCAGCTTGTTGCAAAAAAATGAAATAAATGTTAACTGTCATTATCCTCACTGTTATTGCTTGATTTTACTTCTCAAGGCCTAACCACACCACTGTGTTTTGGCTTCTTTTTCACTGTCATCTGCCATTTTTAAGCATTAATTCTCCAGTGCTTTGTGGACCTTTTCTACTCTCTATAGGTTCAATTAGTTCCTTTATTTTTTAATTAATTCATTGAATGTTTTCTCACATTTTTATATGAGTGTTGGCTCTTGAAGAAGTATTTATTACACATGTACTTTAACTCCAAAGGAAACTAGAAAAAAAAAACAAACTGGAACAAGAAATTAATTTTCAATTTACAGGGATATTAATAGATGAAGTATAGTTAGAAAAAAATTTCCTGAAGCAAAATAACCACATTGCCATTCAATCCTTGCCATTAATGTGGTTTGTCATAATACCAAATTAAATCCATTTTCAAAAAGTTCTGTGTTTTTTAAAACACATATTTTCCCCTAATTTAAACAAAAGGAGAAACTCCATTCAAGGCAATAAATATTGAAGTGCTTACTATTTGTAAGGCATTGTGGGCACTGAAAAAGATACTAAAATGAGTAGGTACCTTCTTCAGTAGCTGAGTATGTGTCTTGTTTGTTTTTCAAAACGTTTTTGCACAGAAAGAACTCTGGGGTCTGTGAGAGAATCACACAAATTCCAACATTCCTGCCTCTTATTCGCCAGACGGAATATGAGGCACCTGATACTGTTAGTAAGTTTCACACATTAATTCAACGGATATTTATTGAGTGCTTATTACAGGTCTAGTGCAGGTCAATAACAAATCATAAAATCCCTGTCCCCATAGAATTTGTATTCTAGTTGGGGGGTAACAGAGAATAAGCACAAGAGTAAATTATGTAAGTAATATTGAGAGAAACAAAGCAGACGAGGAGCATAAGAAATTCTTGGTTTGGTTATGTTGCAGTTTCAAGCAGGGCTGCAAATAGGATTGCCAGGGAGGGACTCATTAGAAGAGGACCTGAAATAATGAGCTGAGTGAAATAATATGTTAGTTAAAATAATACATTTGGCAAAGCATTCCAAGTAGAGGGGACAGCAAGTGCCAAGTCTTCAGTTGGGAGGGTAACTGGCTTTTAAAAAGTTGAACTAAGAGCTAGGAGGCCAGTGTGGCTGGAAATGGCTAACCAGGGAGAACGCAATAGGAGAAAAATTAAAGTTTTAAGGGCTAGGCACTCTGGGCTTTACTCTGATGAAAATCTCTGGAGGCTTTGTTAAGCAGAGGAGTGACATGGTCTGATTTACAGTTTAGGCTGTTAAAAGAAAAACTTTAGACAAGTTAAATCTAATAGAGTTTATTTGCGTGCGTGTGTGCACATGCACACACACACACAGACACACACACACAGACACACACACACACACACACTCACACACACACACACACACACGGTTTATGCGGCATTCATCAGGCAGCAGCACTTAGAACAGGGAGAGGTTCACAGAGCTCTACCCAACACTGTGGGCAGGCAGTATTTGCAGACAAAAAAAGAAAGTGTCCCACAGAAACAGCTTGATTGGTTATAGTTGGGCTTGTTTGGGCAGGACATTATGAAGTATTTGCCTAATATGGACATAGTCTGATGAGTTGGCAGTCCCTGATTGGCTGAAGCTCGGCTACTTGTCACAAGAATATACTCTCAGTTGCAGTTCATTTACATACTAAGTTAGGTTGCAGTTCCCTACATAGCAACTCAGAGTAGGAAGGAAGCTTTACGCCAAATTTAATTTAAATTAAGTTGGAGCATGACCACAGTTGGTCATGGCCAGAAGCTGAACACAGATATGGAAGCTAACACAATATCCAGTAGCGAGAGATTGTGGTAGAGTACATGGGGTGAAATGGTTGATTCCTGTGTTTTTGTTGGTGACACCATCATGATTTAATGAAGAACCAAATGGGAGACAGGAAAGGACAACACAAGGAGCTGCCAGCTTTGGAAACCAGTTCAACTCTCAATATTACCTTTGCAAAAGTTAGAGCTTTGTGAATTTCTAGATTCATCATTCTTATCCCAGACTATTTAACCAGAATCTCCAGAATCATGGCCCTGGAAACAATACATTTAAAATGCTTCCCAAGAATTCTTCTGCAGCCAATTTGGACTATGGAGTCAGCCGGCTCAGGGCTCACTTGTGTTGTTTACACGGAAGACCCCATGCCCAGAGTATAAACTGGGAGTACAGCGCTGTGCAAAGTGTGTAGGTTGGTGAGCTACTGGATTAATCTCTTATCCCTGACGGTGGATGCAGTAGTATTCTAAGATGCCTCAAGTGGGTTGGGAACTGCGGAAGGATTCCTGGAGGAGCCTGATTCTAAGGAAGCGTTTCTCAGGCCTTTGGTAGGAGTACAGAAACGAAGTTGAATGAAAAAGACAGTGGAGTGGGACTGAGAAGTGACAACGGTCCACGACAGACCTCTCTTTTTCAAGGCCTCTGTCACCAGATCGCGGCCCAGGAGAAGCCACAACGAGGCGCAGGCGCGACTTCACAAAGGCCACGCCCTACGTAGAGAAGGACCAACCCGTTTCCCGCCCGGAGGAAAGCTTGGGTTTCCGGAAGGACCTGATTCTGGGAGGGACCAAACCGGATAGAGGTCGCGCGCACTCTTCCGTCGGCCTTCCGGTTCACTAATACGCGATTTTTCAGATGAGCGTGAACACGCTGTCCCTCTGCGCAGGCGTGGGCGGCGCGCCGCGGAATGGCGGGGCTGCACGTCTCTCGAGTCCGGGCCTTATATAAGCGTGTCTTGCAGCTGCATCGTGTTCTGCCCCCGGACCTCAAAGCCCTGGGCGACCAGTATGTGAAGGACGAATTTAGGAGACATAAGGCCGTTGGTTCTGACGAGGCCCAGCGTTTCTTGCAGGAATGGGAGGCAAGTGGCGCCCTCGTTTCTTTGCCTAACACCTTTGGGGTCCCTCGGTGTCCCGGTTTCTTGTTCCATGTCCCCATGCAGGATTAAACAGTGCAGCAACCTGTTTTGTGTGAATTAAACAGCGTAATGCTGTTCAGACGACACTTTCCAAAGTTTCTCGCACGGGTTTCTCAGTGGAGCAGATCCTGTTACTTCAGCGTCTCCAATTCGGTTTAACTTTTGAGCTACTGCAGATGCCAGGTGCTGGAAGGGTGAGGATAGGTCACAGAAATGAGCAGGTCGTCGTTAAGTGCCCAAAGACCTCAGGAGCTTTCTGTCCCTTTAAGTGCGTTTGCACGTAGTAAGCGCCCATTAATAAATTAATGGCTCTCTTATTAGTTTTCAAATTTAAAGGCTTATTTCCCTGTTATTATTTCTTTAATCTCAGCTCTCTTGGTGGGTTTAAATAATTTTCTCACTTGACCGTTACAGAAATCACATAACATGAAAAAGTCTGTAGGTTATAATAAACTGGAGATTACAAACGGTGAAGGAGAAAAATACTGGTGGCAGTTAAGTCAGGCGAAAGTTGTTTCTTCCGGGGTCTCAAGTCAGTGTTACATCGCTACGCACCGTTGCTCTAAATATTAAAGAGACACATGCGCTAGCAGTAAGTCATTTGACTATTTTTTTTTTTTTTTGAGTGAAGAAAAAAAGGCATTCAGAATATTTCGTGGGACTCGGGGCCCTGCAGGATTGCCCCTAGTTTTCACTTGCAAATATCAAGAAATGAATGGAATTAGAGATTAGAATGACAGCTCAGATATTTGAAAGCATGAGTTGGAGCCAGTATGAAAATAGAGGTAAGCGATTCCTCAGCCTGAACAGTTGAAGAGATGAGTGAACTTTTTTTTTTTTAAAAAAAAAAACATAAAAGAATGGTTAGGGTGAACACAAAATTTTCACTTACTTCCAGAAGTCTTATTTGTAGAATTATTGAAGCTTTTAAGAGTGACATTTAGAACAATGGGGAAATTTAGAACTTTCTTGAAAATCATGGTGTATTTGGTGTCATTCGCTTGCCTGAAGCCAGGGAAGTTGAAACTTTTTAGATACAGAGCACTTTTAATAAGGTAATTTGGTCTTGGAGCCTGAAGAACTGGAGTCAGATTGAGTCTCTGATATTTATTAATAATAAGTGTCAGATAATTTTCCTAGTCTTATTTTCTCATCTGTAAAATAGTGTTTATATATGCATCTCAAAATTTATGTATGTAAATGTATTTACAAGCACTTGTATTTTGTTAATTGTTACGAAGCTATAAGATACTGTATTAAAGTATTTTACATCTTTTAAGGTACGTCATTTTGTGACTACACGAAGGAGAGTAGCCCTCTGTTGGGAGGAAATAAGGTTATTTTGAGAAGTCTTAAAGTGTAAGAACTTGGAAGCCTTTTAGGGAAAAAGTAGGAAAGAATATCAACTCAGAAAAGATTGATAATAAGAGAGAAATAATAGATAGTAGGAGAGAGAAAGGGTATATAAAAGAACTGCGTAAATAAAAAATGTATTAGTTGACCTAGTAGGCTTGGTAACAGGTGTGGAGCATTTTAAAACTCAGAGAAGAGTAGAAAGACTACAGAGTTCCTCTACATCCTGTTTCCCTTATGTTAGCATTTTACATAATCAGGGTACAGTGATCAAAAGCAAGAAATTAACATTGCTACAATACTATTAACTACAGGTTTTATTTACATTTTGCCAGTACTTTCACTAATGTCCTTATTCTGTTCCAGGATCCCACGGGATTCTACAATGCGTTTAGTCATTCTTTTTCCTTAATCTCCTTTTTGTGACTGTCCCTCAGTCTTCTTATCTTTCATGACTTTGATACTTTTTTGAAAAGTACTGGTCTGTTACTTTGTGGAATGTTTCTCAATTTGAGTTTGTCTGATATTTTCTCATGGTTAAATTGATGTTATACATTACTGAGAATAGCACAGGGGCGAACTGTTCTCAACACTTAACGTCAGAGAGTAAATGATATTAACATTTATTCTTACTGGTAATGATAAGGGTGATCACTTGGTTAAAGTGATAATCTGCCTGGTGTCTCCACTGTAAACTTACTATTTTCCCCTTTGAAATTAATACCTAGTTGGAGGTAGGTACTCTCTCAGGATTTGCAGATGAATACTAATCTTAGCATTCATTGAAGGATTTTGGCATTGTGTTCCAATGGTGTTTTTTTTGTTTCCCTTATTCTTTCTGAATTTGTTAGTTGACATGTCTGTATAGAACAGTTTTCCTATCTTCCCCATTGTTGACCTAGTGAAGTTAATGAATTGGCAGCTGGGTAAAGATAAATTTAAACCTAGTTATCTCTTTGGATAACATAATTCTCACAGTTGCAAGGCAGCTTAATCTAAGCCTGGGAGCAAGAATTGGTAGATTGGATCCTACTAAGAAAGATACTTGAGGAACTGGTCATTTTGGAAGAGTAGGGCTAGAGAAGATGCTAATGACTTGGAGGGGAGAAAAACCTGGCTAGAGAAGTTTTATCACCGGAGAGTAATATACTTAAGACTTCCAAGTCTTTCCCCCCAACATGTTCTTCAAAACATGTAATTTATGATTGTTTTACTAGGTATTGCTAGATATGATATGGATTTTTATGCCTTTGTTGTTTTTCAGTTAGTGCTGATTACAAACTTGGTACCTGTTGTTTGAATCTTATTTAACGGTTACGTTTACATCAAGCTAAGTAACTGTTGTGGACTTCTAACTTAATATGTGGAGTCTGGTCTACACAATCCCAATCCCTCACACCATCTAAACTTAATTATGGACTTGAATGGATTCTGAATTTGTTTTACGTCAGTGGGCAACGTTGGGTATAGTTACTACTTGATAGAATGGGATCAAGAATGCTAGAGGCCCTGTATTTGGAAGCGAGTTCTCTAATTCCCTTTATTTGTGATCCTGGAAAACTGGCAATATCATAATAGAATTCAGCTGGGGGAAGTTTTTGTTCAAGGGCCACTTGGGGCAGGGTGGAAGGAAAGTGTTTCATTTAAAGTATAGAAATGTAAAAAGTATGTTTACAGAGTAAATAGTGAATTTATTAATTTCTTACCAGAAGAAAAAATGTAAGTTCAGGAAGAGTTTTTGGGAGTCTATTAAGGGAGAATGTACAATAACTGGTTTGTAAACTGTGCATTGTAATCTCTCAACTCTTAGGAGGTAACTTTTAGAAGTGAAATTGAGACTCCATAGATTAGGGGTCTTACGGCATTTTAAATGTTCTGACTGTGCTCATTTTTGGGGAATAGTTGATTTAAGTAAGGCTTTCTATTTTTCTCTCTTTGCCTACCACTTATTTTGTAGGAAATCAGAATAAGCACTGAAGATTAAATAGATAAAACATGTTGGTGAGAGAATATGAGACAAAGAGCACAGAAGAGTGTGCTCTCAGGAGCTACCTGAATAGACTTCATGTGTTTAATTTTTCTTTCTCTGTCCCATTTATTTTTCTCAGTTGCCCCTTGCCTTGTTTCTCATGTTTTTCTTGAGGAGCTGCTTTGTTCTGTGTCTGTTGGAGAACGTTTTTTAAGTGTTAGTTTTGTTTCTAGAAAACAAAGGCATAAACATTTTGCAGATAGTTTTGATCACTTACTATTGTCAGACAATGTGCTAGGCATTTAGGATGCAAAAATGAACAATAAATATATTTTATTTTCACGGTTTTCAAAGTTTAGTATAAAAGAACAATTGTAATATAATATGAAAGAATGTCTACTAAGTGCTGTGGGATCAAGGAGGAATGGAGGAAGCTGAAAGCTACACAAGATGGTTAAGTTTTGAGTAGGTCAAATTTACCATGTCAAAAAGAGAACTTTCTAGAAAGAGGGAATAACATATGCAGAGGCATTGAGGTAAGAAATAGTATGACTTTTTTTCCAGGAACTGCAGTGTTGTGTTTGGAATTTAGCGTTTTATACAGAAGATGAGGAGGAAATAAAGCTAAAGAGGTGGCAGGAGACAGGATATTTTGCTAGGGATTTTAAGTTTTTATTTTGAATCATTGAAAACTTTTTAAATGGTAGAAATGATTTAAATAATATTCTAGAAAGATCATGTTAGCAGCAATATAGAGGAATAATTGAAGAGCTAGATTGAAAGTAAGGAGAACTGTTAGTAGATTGATGTAATAATCCCAAGCCAAGTAGGTATATGCCTAAACCAAGACAGAGGCCTTGAAAATGGAGAATACGGATTTATAAGGTGTTTTTTTTTCTTTTAAAGTAGAATGGAACTTGACTTGTTGACCAATACAGTATTAGTGAAGGAGAAAAAAACAGAATGGATAACTTCTGGATTTGGAGCATGATACCAATAACCAGAATAGTTATGTAGGAGGAACAGATTGGGAATGAGTTCACTTTGGTATGCTTTGTGCTAAAAATTCTGATGGAACAGTTAAGTGAAGATGTTCAGAGAGATAAGTGTTGGGCTGTTGCTCAGGAGACAGATTGTGGCTGGAGATAGAGATTTGGAATTATATTACCTGTAGTTGGTGGACCAAAGATGTGGGTGGAAGTGCCCCTTTTGGGTATAGTATAGGGGAACTTGGTCAAAGAACATTAACATTTAAGAGTTAAGAGATTGAAAGTAGTAGTATAGTGCTGGGATTGTTTTATTTTTTTCCATTTGTATTTAGTTGTTCCTAGCTACTGCTGCAAAGGAATGTATTTTTTAAATTTTTTAAAATTTTAAGTTTTGGGATACATGTGCTGAACCTGCAAGTTTGTTACATAGGTATACATGTGCCATGGTGGTTTGCTGCACCTATCAACCTGTCATCTAGGTTTTAAGCCCGGTGTGCATTTGGTATTTGTCCTGATGCTCTCTATCCTCTTTCCTCCCATGCCCTCAACAGGCCTCAGTGTGTGATGTTCCCCTCCCTGTGTCCATATGTTCTCATTGTTCAACTCCCACTTATGAGTGAGAACATTCAGTG